TGGGCATGGAGGAGGACACTTGTGGGGATGAGCACTGAGTGTTATGTGGAAACTAATTTGACAATAAACTATTAAAAAAAAAAAGAAGTGGAATAAATGATTCTAAAATTTGTAAGAAACCACAAAATACCCCAAAAGGCCAAAGCAATGTTGAAAAAGAAAAATAAAGCTGGAGGCATCACAAATCCAGACTTCAATTTATATTACAAATCTTTAGTAATCAAAACAGTACTGGTACAATAATAGACACATAGATCAATAGAACAGAATTCTGGAAATAAACCCACAACTATAGGTCATTGAATCTTCGACAAAGTAGGGAAGAATGTCCAATGGGATAAGAATGTCTCTTCAACAAATGGTGTTGGGAAAACTTGACAACAGCATGCAAAACAATGAAACTGGATCACTTTCTTATACCATATGCAAGAATAAATTCAAATTGGATTAAAGACCTAAACATAAGACATGAAACCATAAAAATCCTAGCATAGATCACAGGCAGTAAGTTCTTTGACACAAGCTGTAGCTTACTCTTTCTAGGATGTCTCCTGAGGTACGGGAAACAAAAGTAAAAATGAACTATTGGGACTACATCAAAATAAAAAGCTCCTGCATAGCCAAGGAAACAGTCAACAAAACTGATAGACAACCTACTGAATGGGATAAGACATTTGCAAATGACATATTCAATAAAGGGTTAGTATGCAAAATATATAAAGAACTTATATCATTCAACACCCCAAAGACAAATAATTCCAATTGAAAAAATGGGCAGAAAGAATGAACAAACATTTCTCCAAAGAAGACATTTAAACTGACAACAGACATATGAAGAGATGTTCAGTATCACTTATCAACAAAGAAATGTAATCAAAGTTACAATAAGTTATCATCTTACACCTGCTGGAATGGTTAAAATCAACAACAGAAGAATCAATAGATTTTGGTGAGGATGTTGAGAAAAAGGAACCCTACTGCAATTTTGGTGAAAATAAAAACTGTTGTAGCCATTGTGAAAACATTATGGAGGTTCCTCAAAAAGTTAAAAATAGAGGTACCCTATGATCCAGCAATTGCACTAAATGGGGATTTACCCAAGGAATACAAAAACTAGTTCAAAGGGATACATGCATACTAATGTTTGTTGCAGTATTATTTACAAGAGACAAATTATGGAAGCAGTCCAAGTGTCCATTGATTGATGAAAGGATAAAAAAGCAGTGGTGTATACACACACACAGACACACACACACAATGGAATACTATTCTGCCATAAAAATGAATGAAATCATGCTATTTGCAATGACATGGTAGAGCTAGAGAGTATAATGATATGCAAAATAAGTTAGAGAAAGGCAAATACCATACAATTTCATTCATATGTGGAACTGAAGAAACAAATGAGCAAAGGGAAAAAGAATTGAGAGAGGAAAGAGAGACAAATGAGGAATTATAGAGAACAAAGTGAGTATCACCAGAAGGGAAGAGGGTGAGGGTGAGGGGAATGGGTTAAATAGATAATGGAGATTAAGGAGTACACTTGTCATTATGAGCACTGGAAATTGTCTGAAACTGTTGAATCACTATATTCTACAACTGAAACTAATAAAACACTGAATGTTAAAAAAATGAAAAAAAACCACTTACATTTAAAGTAAAAATGGAAATGTGGTATATACATGTTTACACATACCTACATACACATACACACACATAGAGGAACAGTATTTGGCCTAAAAAAGTATGGAATCGGGGCGCCTGGGTGGCTTAGTCGGTTAAGCGTCCGACTTTCGCTTAGGTCATGATCTCGCGGTTCGTGGGTTCGAGCCCCGCGTCCGGCTCTGTGCTGACTGCCAGCTCAGAGCCTGGAGCCTGTTTCAGAGTCTGTGACTCCCTCTCTCTCTGACCCTCCCCTGCTCACGCTGTCTCTCTCTCTCTCTCCTAGAAATAAATAAAACATTAAAAAATTTTTTTAAAAAAGTATGGAATCTTACTATTTGTAACAACATAAATCGAACTTGAGGACATTATTTTCTTCCTTATATTTCTCATGCTAAGTGAAATATGTCAGAAAAATTAAGGCAAATGTCACATGATCTTACTTATATGTGGAATTAAAAAAAAAACAACCAGACTCCTATATACAGAGAACAGATAACTGATTAATTAATCGTTGCCAGAGGTTGCCAGACATGGGAAATTGGGTTGGGCAGAATGGGTGAGGGCAGTCAAAAGATAAAAACCTCCAGTTACAAAAGTAATTACTGGGATGTCATGTACATCATGGTGACTATAGTTATTAATATTGCATTATGTATTTCAAAGTTGCTAACAAATTAGATCTTAAAAGTTCTCATCATAAGAAAAGAAATTCTGTGACTATGTATGGTGATAGAAATTCATTACACTTATTGTGGTGATCATTTTGCAATATATATCAAAATATCAAATCATCATGTTGTATACTTGAAACTAATATAAGTTTGTATGTCAGTTATACCTCAATAAAATACATATGAAAATATACTCTAATTCTGGTAAAAATAATAAAAATGAATGATGTCAAAATGGTTCAATTTGATTAGGTCTAACTAATTATACTTTGCAGGTTCACATCAATATGAAGGGGCAGCTTTCAGTTTACCTGTGTCAGGGCATTTTTCAGCATTTTCTTTAATAAGTTTGAAGATATTTCAATAAATACAAAAATTCCAATAAAGACATTTGAAAATTAAATGAGAAGATCTGTTAGCACTAAAAACATACCTTTTGAATTAATTTTTAGGTAATGTACTTTCTCCTAGAAACTGAGTAGTTTGTATATATCAAACTATTAGTTTTCTCCTAGAAACTGATATATTTGTATAAATATATGAAAGAAGATATAAAAAAATTCCTAAAATCTTTCCTATGTCCATGTAAAAAACATTTGCATAAACATAAATGGTAGAGGAAGACACATTAATGCTGCTCTTAGTTTTTTAATATACAAGGAAATAACAGTAACAAATTATGCCTTCAAAAGATAAAAGGAGGGGCACCTCCCTGAGGGGTGGCTCAGTCAGTTGAGTGTCAGAGTGGCTCAGGTCATGATCTTATGGTTCATAAGTTCAAGCCCTGTGTCAGGCTCTGTGCTGACAGCTCAGAGCCTGGAGTCTGCTTTCGATTCTGTGTCTCCCTCTCTCTCTGCCCCTCCTCTGCCTGTGCACGTGCGCACATGCTCTCTCTCTCTCTCTCAAAAATAAACATTAAAAATGTTTTTTAAAAAAGATAAAAGGGACATAATTCTAGTCAATGGGGCTATATCATTCACATTTCAGAGTAATCTTAAAACACCAGTTGAGGGTTTGGGACAAGACGGCAGAACTTAAATTCTCTCTGTTCTTCCTCTTAAGTACAACTAGATAATGTGGAAATAATAGAGTGCACAATCAGCTGGGTACTGAAGGATGAAAATATGAAGGTGGACTGGCTAGGGACTTCCAGGACTCACAGAAAAACAAAGCAGTTTGGCATCTCCCAATTTCCCACCCAGTGACAAGACAGTCCAGGCTCAGTGTCTCCTGGCTCTCAGCTCAAAGGCAAAGGTAGCACAAGCCCAGTTATGTCCTGATCCCCAACCCAACAAAAGGCAGTTCAGGTGGGCCCTTTCCTCCCTTGGTAACACTGGTGGGATTTCCAGTAGTAGCATATGGTCTGGAGTTCTAGCCCAGGTCAGCAGCAGTGGGGCCCAGTGGTGTCAGATGAACCAAGCAGACCAAACTAGTACTACAGGAATCTTAAAACTAAATTGTCATTAGAACCACAGTCCACAAAAGTAGACCAGGACCTATGCATCTAAATAGCATAACTGCCTGCTAAAATAGAGTAATGTATTTAAATAGGATCCAAATTCTCCCAAAATAATATCCAAAATGTCCAGAAGACAAATGAAAATTCCTGGAAAAAAAGTACAATCATAGATATAAAAAACTCATTGAATGGGCATGATAGCAGAATGAATATGACAAAGGAAAAAAATCAGTGAACTTGAAGAGAGATCAATAAAAATTGATCAATAAAAATCCAATCTGAACAATACAGAGAAAATATTAATTTCAACTACCAAATAATAACATAATTATATGCCTGGCTGTAATTTATTTCTTTAGATTAGCTGGGATTTTACTCTAAATTATACTATTCCATTTTTCTTTTTTTTTTTAACCCTTATAAGCTTTTCTTAAGAACAAAATATCATAGGGGTGCCTGGGTGGCTCAGTCGGTTGAGCATCCGACTTCAGCTCAGGTCATGATCTCACAGTTCGTGGGTTCGAGCCCCACGTCAGGCTCTGTGCTGACAGCTAGCTCAGAGCCTAGAATCTGTTTCAGATTCTGTGTCTCCTTCTCTCTCTGACCCTCCCCTTCTCATGCTATCTCTCTCTTAGAAATAAATTTTTAAAAAAGAACAAAATATTATAATAATGAGAACAAGAAAACATAGTCACTAAATAATCCATATGATCATCAACATAAAAAAATAAAAATAATACCTATGATTTTTATTGAACATACAAATACAAGAACACAGAAGTTTCTCAAATTAAGATACACTACACATCTATTGAGTGTAAATACTTCAAAATACTCATTGTTTTAATGGTATTAATTTGAAGATACTCACCTTCTAACTAAATCTGGTTTTAGAAGGGTTGCTTGTTGTTCAACTCCAACTGCCTGGGATACAGGCTGTAAATAGTACAGAAACAAAACTTGTTATAATAGAAGACTTCAAGCTAAAAATGCAGTCTGCTATTATTTCAAAAAACATGGTTTTTACATTTCACATTTTAGTTAACTCACAAACTAGGTAGAATGTCCACATTATGTAATGTTTGATGTTACTACCAAAGATAAAGAAAAATAAAATGTATCAATATTCATATTCATTAATATTTTCCATTAAAAAAGATAGCATTCTTTGATATACCTTTGTTTCTATTATTTTTCAGTGGAGAACACCAACATTCAGCTTCCAGGCCTGATGAGAAAACCAGTACTAAAAGGAAGAGTTGCTACCATTTCACAAATAGATAAATAAATGACTCAAGCTTTAACTTACTGAGTGCTCTGGCTCTTTCTCACTCTCTTTATACTAAACTGCTGACAACTATCCCTTTCAGGCATTAGTATCAGCTGTTGCAATACTGGCTTCTAGGAGAAAAGCTTAGTTAAGCCCTCTAAGAAGGAAAATACCAACCATGTTGGAAAAACAATTTTAAACATTTATCTAATTCATCCTATGTACTGACACTGGTGATAGCACAGGGACCTTAAAATGCAAATCTGTAAAACTTGATGGCTGCTTTATGAAGTTTAAACCCTCTATGATGGCTCCTCATCTATAAGGTTAAGTTTCTTTGGATGGCAAAGTCCTCAATGAACTGGTTCCCAGCCACATTCTCTAGGCTCTTCTGCTTGAAGCCACAGTGAACTGTAGCTCCTTTGAATGAGTTGAGCTCTTCCATATACTGTGACTCTACTCATGTTCCCTCATCTTCCTGGTCTATTTCAACTCCCCCTCAGTCCTTTCCAATCTATGGATGGAACTCCTTTATATAAGAAGCTTCTATCACAGTAGGTTCTAGACAGTCCAGCAAAATCACTTTGAATGCTCAAAAAAAAATATGCTCCTAGGTGGCTCAGTTGGTTAAGCATCCAACTTCAGCTCAGGTCATAATCTCACGGTTCGTGAGTTCAACATCCACATTGGGTTCTCTGCTGTCAGCACAGAGCCTGCTTCAAATCCTCTGTCTCCCTCCCTCTCTACCCCTCCTCTGATCACTATCTCTCAAAAATAAACATTAAAAACTATTTTAAAAATAAAAAATATAAACCTTAGCTCATATCTTGTTTTCTAAACAACAAAGGATGAAGGTTTCCTAGAAAAATGACTGATTCCAATATTGGGGCAAAGAAAGAACAAGATGAGGCTGAATCATCTTGTTATGCCAAAAAGTAAAGAATTGCTCAAATAATGATGGGAACATATCAAAAATATACAGGAGCCAGCTTGAAGGGGTTCCCACTGCCCAAATATGGGACAATTTGGACATCAAAATAAATAATGATAGTAACAGAATATAACCCATTCAATAAAATAAAAATACATGAGTTCATACTGATACTAACAAAGTCTTTGCATCACAAAGCCAACTGATATAAGGAATGATGAAATCAGAAAATCATCAATGGATGATAAAATTCATCACCCACTTTTAGTGGGAAAAAGTTACATAGATTCAAAATATCTCCCCACAGCTTACTTATTAATTATAAAAGCAAAAAAAGGGTCACTTTATACTAGAAAACTATACAGTATACAGCAGGCCCCACCTTAAACAAGGAATCAGATTTAATCCCAGCAATAGTGGGACAAACTGACATCACATGCCTCCTGATATGATATGTTGTTCAAAGAACACATTGCGTAGATAGTATTCCTGACAAAAATATATCATCTGAATCTTAACAAGAGGAAATTTCAAACAAACTCAAATTGAAGGACATTCTACAAAATAACCAATCTTTAGTCTTCAAAAAAATATCAATGTTATAAAAGACAAAGGCTGAGGAACTGTTCTAGAGTAAAGGAGACAAGAGAGACAACACAGCTAAAGGCAATACATGATCTTCAATTAGATCTTAAATCAAGGGAGCAAAATTGCCTACATGGACATTAACTGGACAACTGGTGAAATTTTACTGTGGATAACAGATTAAATAATAATAATAAATTTATATTAAATCCCTTGAATTTTTTCATTGTATTGTGGTTTAAAAAATGTCCTTATTTTTATACTGAAATATTTAGGACTAAAAGGACATCATATCTGTAACTTGCTCTCCCATGCTTCAGAGGGAAAATCATGTGTGCTTGAATGAATAGATGGATGGACGAATGGATAGACAGAATGGCCAACGAAATAACAAATCGATGGACCGTCATCCAGCAATGCCTTTTATCACGTCCCTCTTTATCATATATGTTTAATGTCTGACTCCAAGGACTCTGCTTTTTTGTATTCTCAGTTCCTCTTACCACTTACCACAGTGTCTGGCACATTTTAGGCTTCGATTAATTGTTTTAAGGCAGAAAGAAATAAGAAAGAAAACATTGACATAAGAAGAAAGGCTGTGCCATAAAAATGTTCATGATCCATTATTACGAATCCTGGACAGAAATCCTAAGGAAATAATACAAAGGAAGAAAAAAGTACATAGTATAAAGTTTGTTTCATAGTAAATATTCAATAAATGATAGATACCTCTGTTTTTATTGTAGTATTATACATAATAAAACTTGTCAGCAAGTAAGTTTTTCAGGAATAGGGGAAGAGTTAGGTAAATATGATTATTTATTGCATTATCGTGTGGCCATTAAATACTGGAATTGTGAAGGGCAAGTAAAGGCAGGGAAAATCACTTACCAATGAATGAAAAAAGTGAGGACAAAACTGTATATGTAAGTACAACCACTTACTCATGTGTCAAAAGCTGGGAATACTATAACAAATATAATCACTGCTATGTCAAAGAAATAGCATTTTAGTGATTTTTCCCAATTTTCCTACTTTTTATGATGTTACTACATACATTTTATAATTTAAAACTTTCAAAGGATATCAAATATTAAGTGTACAGGAAAATAGGTATTTTCATAAACCACTGGTAGGATTGTAAACGGGTTAGTCCTTTTTTAAAAGTAATTTGGCAATACATAAAGTCTTAAAGACATGTAGGAATTACATTTCTAGAAATCTGCCCAAGGAAATAATTAAAATGTATACAAAGGAAATAATTAAGAGTATATTGCAGGATTTAGCTACAAGAATGTTCCTAACAACACAGAATATAATTGTAAAGAGCAAAAAAATAGACACTTGTTTCCTTTATTTGCTCCATTAAATAACTGTATCTTATATATCTTATGACAGATATATACAAGTGAGAAAAAATTATAAAAGATTATGTATACTACAGTTACATTAAAATTACATGTATGTTTAAGCATATAAAATGGTCTGGAAGACTATATGAAAAGGTGTTAAGCTTATCTATATTCATCTTGCTTTGGTAATAAGAAAAAAATAAATTCAACTTTGTACAGATTTATCAACCCTCAAATCTGGGCAGGTCCCCATTATTTCAATGCACAACATTATAGTGATTTTAGACAAAAGTAAAAAAGGAAGATTTCATTCAATTTGAAAGACATCTACAAAAATAGCCCAACATCTATTTGTAAATATTAGTTTTGAGACTCCTCAAAATATTATGAGAGAACTTGATTTGAAGCTATCATATGAAAAGACAGATGAACCAACTATTAGCCATGATTCTAAGGACACAAAGTAGCATTGATAATCCTGTTAATAATTACAAGTGGTAATAAAATATCATCCCAAATTGCTGTCATAGTAAATGTCTTCTTTCTCTTTACTTAATCCATACTCTTTCCCTTTACTTAATCCATACTCTTTGCCTCCAGATTTATGCATCAAGATATGATGTCACTGTTGTCACTGTTCCATCTTGCTGGGACTCAATATGATTCTTTTAAAATTTCTTTAATACAACCATTTAAGCTGGATACATTTTGTTGGATCTTGTGTGTACAAAAAAAAAAAAGAAATTGCTTTCAGTGTTTTTAAACAATGATTATGTTAAACAGCTAATTATGTAACTTATAATTAGAAGCTAATCTAATTTGTCCAGGAAAAAAGCCTCTGTATGGGTTGACTAGGTTGGAGGAGAAAAGAGAAGTCAAGAAATGATACTTTGTATTATTTCTCAACTACCCCCCCCCCTTAAAATCCAAATGAAAGACAGGGACCAATCCCCTTTCCTAATGAGACTGATAATTTGGATGTCTGAGTCCTTGATAATTTGCTAGCAAAATTCAATAATACTGAAGTACATCTGGACACATGCAGAATGAGGACAAGGCCAAAATGAAAAGCAAAACTAGGTGTGGATTCCATGGGCCATACCATGCTCTCCTTTCAATTTAGAACACTCTCTTACACTTGTTCCTAGGTCTTTCTCATCTGGGATGCTGTGAGCTATTTGAGGGAAGAGATCATATCTCTAAAATTTATCATAATATTCCCAGTACCTAATCACTACCTGAAATAGGAATAGATGCTCAATAATTGTCTTTCACTATTACAATATTCTCCTGTTTTTATTTTTATTATAGCAACAAACCAATCAGTATTAAGCATTTATTAAGTGCTAAGCACCTCATATACATTATTTAAACTTACTTAAACCTTTATGACAACTCTGAGCAGTAAGTACCGCTATCTTCATTTGACAAATGAGCAAGCTGAGGCTGTAAATGATGGAAGCAAAAACTGAGTCAGTAAAAGGAAATTAATGAATAGATAAGTGACTCCAGAGAGTACTGAGAAGCAGAGAACCCTTGTGCACACCAAAGAGGCTTTTCTGCTAATTTTTGTTAGTTCCTAACCCTCTTTCTCCTTAACTTACTTTGTTATTATTTGCCCTCCTCCCACCAGTGATTCTTAGCCTTGGGTGCTGTTTATAATCTCAAGGGAAGGAGAAGAGAAGGAGAGAAAGGGAGGAGGAGAGAAAAAAAAAGAAAAAGAAAACAAAAAACAAGAAACATCATTTAAACATTTCATAAACTACCTTATTGTATTATCAATGCTACAAAACAGGTC